ACTTCAAGTAGATGGCGATTTTTGCGTTCAACAACGCCATTCTGCTGGGGTGCATTTGTGCAAGATCTCTAATGAATGATACCTTTAGTAGTAAAATATTGTTGCATAGGCTTTGAAATTAATTTAGAACCACTATTTGAACGTTTGCATTGTACACCACAGTTAAATTGTCACTTTACCATAGCACAAAAGGTAATGAGAAAAAACACAACCTCTGATTTATTTCTTAAGAGATAGACCCAAGTGCATTTACTAAAATCATCAACAATAGTAAGAAAAAATTATCTCCATAGTGAGATGCAATTCGATAACCTTCCTATAGATAGCAATGCACAAGTTGGAAAGGAGCAGTGGTGCGGGATACACGAATTGGAAATGGAATTTGTGTTTGTTTAGCATGATGGCAAGAATCACAACAAAAATCTTTCGGTGTGATAGGTATGCCGCTGATGAGTGGCCAAGACATTTATGCCATGTTATGTTATCTACAGTGGAAGAAGCAGTTACATGTGTAGGGGTTGCATTTAAACTATAGGAGATACATAACATTATGTATAGTATGGGAACCAAGATTCACAGACCCCTTATGAGTTGTCGAAATAGAAGTTCCATTTGGTAAGCTAACAAGCCTCTTATGACTCAAACACTGAGATGTTGTAAACATAGAATCAAATGTAAGCATGTGGTCAGAAGCACCATTGTCAAGAATCCAATTGAGAAGAGATAGAACCTTACCAGAGGCATTGGTCGAAGCAAATTCAGACTTATCGTTATTAAGAAGAGAAAGAAGTTGATTGTATTGATTCATCATGAGCTCCAGGATGGGAGAGTCAACAGTAGTCTCTGAGAATTCAGTAGCTGCGCATGATGTAGATCGAGGTTGATGTGGTGGACCCTTAAAATAAAACCGTCGGCTTGATCGATTCTTTTCCCAACTCTCTGGATATCCAATTAGCTCATAACAGAGGTCTTTGGTGTGACCATTCCATTTACAATGATCACAGGTCTAGTAGATGCATTTAGTGCTGCTGCTTCTAGCTGAATAGGAGAGTTACTTATAGATATGTTGAATAGATGCTTTTCTTCTTGAGTGATAAGAGCATATGCATGACTCATATTAGGTAGTGGATCAGATCCAAGAATCGAAAATCTAATTGGATCCAAGAATCGCAAATCTAATTGGCAGCAGTAAGAATCTTTGCTGCTCCACACGAGCATTCAGGTATGGGTACGAGTGTTACTAATTCATCCCTGAGTGTCTTGAGTCTGGTGAAATAACCGGTGACTGTGAGATCTCCTTGCTAGAGAAGAGCTAGGTCCCGTTTTAGTTGATGTATACAGGGAGTGTTACTTTGCGAGAACCATTTTTCGAGCTCCTTCCAGATTTCAGCTACGCATTCTATGAATGTTACGTTGTTGCATATGTCATGAGACAATGAATTGAAGATCCACGAGACAACCATCGCATTGCATTTTGTTCAGGCTGATTCTTCCGGTGGTTTAGCATCAGGGCATGGCAAAGACCCATCAACAAAACAGAATTTGTTCTTTGCCATGTCGAAAAATTTTCTTCGACGAGTGAAGACGAAACCAACACAGCTCCTGAATTATCCGATGGGTGCAAGAAATATAATGAGCTTCCATCAATCTCGAACGCCATTACCAATCTTGATGAACTGCAAGCCTGAGGATTTGTGCTGCTTTGATACCATGAAAAAATGCCATCAGACTCGAGAAAACAAAGGAAGAATACTCTAACTCGTATTAAGATAATTGGCATATATATAAATACAAAATAACCGACTTAGACAAATGGGCCAAATTGACCAGTTGTCAAGTGAGTAAGGTCCAACTGTCGGGTGGTTATTACATTGCAAGAAGCTTTCTGTTACGACATGCTAACAAAGTACGTTGATGGCTGAGATCAATGATTAGTTCTTGAATGAATATGCCATTGTACAATCAACAATTACATCTATTGGACAAGCAAGGAAATGCATATACTTTTATAATACTAGTGCCCTGTTTCATGTCTTTCCTGTATGGCTGTATCATAATTGGATCATTAACATATTAGTTAACATTACTTTATTACATACATTTTAATTGAAATTAGCTAAATAGAACTGCATAGTTGTGATTTGGATCAAGATGCAGAGGATGGTATATAGTTTCTGTAGGATTTGTATCAATCACAATATCGTCGCCTGGCGTCTCTTGTGGTTCAAATCAAGTTTTGAGCCCAACTCAAATAGTTCAAATCAAGTTTTGAACTTTATGCTTTTCTTTCTCCACTGAACTGAACTTGAATAATCTAATATTCCGCTCGGTTTGGCATATATATTCAACCCCGATTGACATCCCTATGACCCTATCCCAAGTATACTTATTCATGGGCTGGATTGAGGTTCAAATTTTGTGAAAATTTGAATGGGCCTAGCTCTAAGCCCAAATCTAAAACATTGCAAAATGTTTATGGGCTGAAATTGAAGCCCGACCCATGAACAAGCCTAATCCCAGGAAGTAAGGGACTTGTGGCTATCAAAAAGAGAATATTATATATAAAAATTTAAAAACGAGTTAGGTGTACACTAAAATACAATCAAGGATAGACACGTCATGAATCCGTACGTTTAATATCTGTACAGATCATAGACAAATTCACGCGTGATTGAATAAGTAATTTATCAAAATTATTGTAGATTGTTTGGGAGAAAGTCTATTCTCAACTCTTCACCTACTGCCTAATTTATTTTTCTTAAACTAGTACTGCTAGTTTGCTCTAAATATGTAGGGTTTTGGATGTGATATTTTATATTGTAGACAAGTCTTTCTGATCATTTAGAGAAGGCGAAAGATCCCAGGGTTAGGATTAAAAGGACTTCCATTTCTCTCTTAAAACTAATTATAATTATCAGACGTATTTCAGTCCAAATCAAACCTTGCAACCTTTCCAGAACTAATCATATTTCAGTATTAATAACTTTGTTGTGGTAAAATCCAAGACCAGTAAACGATTTGGGAAAATAGATAAAAGAAGAAAATGTAAAATCAGAAGACTTCAAGAAAATACACAAGATATATGTGGTTTGGTTTGCCTTATAGTCTGCATCCATTTATGAAAGAAGAGCTGTGAAATCCACTATAGAAAACAGTAATAAAGATTATAAACATATACAAAACCTTGTTCACAGAAACCCTAAATCTCAATACACCCAATCTGTCAAACTCGATTTCTTTTCAAAAACAAAGATACATAAAGTAGAAAATCCCAAACAACATAATATAATGCATTCATACTCTCAAACTGAAAATGGATTGGATCTACTTTACGCTTTCATCATTATGAAATTTTGCCTTTTAAATTTTGAGTGGGCCATGAAGTAGGTTGTATAAGGAATTCAAACACAACACAATGAGGGTGTTTGGTTTTGTTTACGTTTATTGAGTAAACGTTTTGTATTTGTGTGACTGCAAAACCGAGATAAGTAATTAATGATGATGTTTATGATAAATAAGCGCCATTAGGCACCACATCAGCTAAGTGCCAATAAATGTCTTCCTGTTTCAAGAAGCTCCAAAATGAAGCTTCCTGAAATGGTGAGGCACACAAAAATTGATGTTTTGATACGTATGGATACAATTAATGAGGCCTTTACTGATGAGACACCTATATAACAGCATTTATTTATAAACGTAAATGGAATCAAACACATGCAACAAAGTTAGAAGTAGTAGATTTTGATGGCTAAAGTTACTCAAGAACAAGAAAACACCCATAGGGCTGACATGGAATTACTAATCCTGTTGTGTAAACACTGTTAGGTAGGTGTGGGTTCTCATAATCAATAGGTCAAGACATGGTATATTATAATAGGCCCAGTATCATCCAGAAACTTAGATGATTTGGAGTCTCCTTACATGAGGGATCTCTGGAACCCAGAACCAAAATCCTTCAATTCATCCAACTTTCCTTTCCAATTCATCCAAACACAACAAGCACTGCTGACTGATGAGAAGTGTTTCAAACTGGACAAGATGAATAACCGAAAATCCCACTGAATCACAGTTGACTAATAGATTGAAAAGGGTCCAGGCTTATGTTTCAACTTTCAAGTCTGAAAAGGGTGGGTGCTTATGTTTCAGGACGGATGTCCCGTGTGTGGATCAGGCCCGGTCAAAGACAAGGCTATATAGCTTTTTTTTTTTTTTTTATCTTTTTCATTTTCGCTTCACGGGATAGCCTATAACCTCCCTTAACCCCCAACCTTAGTGGCAGTAGGATTTGATCTCACGTCTCTATTTTGATAATTGAGAGATCCTAACAATTGAGCCACCATCAGTTTGGCCCAATTTAACAGTTTATATTGTTTTGGGCTTGAGCACTGGGATGGGCCCATTGAAAATTTGACAAAATCCTAACCCTAACACGCGAAAGTTGGACCCCTAATTATATTGCTTTTTATCATACGTGCTAAGCCCATGATCACTCCTATCTAAAAGACATCCGTTTTTTCCTTTAACTTGAAAAAGCAAATCCTAAGGCTATCTTTGGTTTAAAGGAAAAGGTAGGGAAAGATATACAAAGTTTGTAACAGTTTTCTTGCCTTTCCTTTCCTTTCCCTACTTTTTCCTTCAAACAAAACATAACCTAAAAGTAAAAAATAAGTTATAAAGGACATTTTATTTCATTTGATTTAGAGTCAAGTTAAATAGGGGCATAATTGACTTCATACCATATAGTTGCTTACAGTAGGATTACGAACAATGAAAATTTATATTTATTGCCCTAGTGAGGGGATACACTCATGAGATAGCATTTACATAACATGAAAATATATAAAAGATGAACCTTCTTATTACATTCATCCATCAGTACTAATCTTAAAAAAGAAAAAAAAAAAAGAAAAAAAGATGAACCTTGAGGTTCTCATTGAACATGGCAAACAAGTAAGTTTCAATAGGCTTTCCTGGCCTTTTAAGGGTACCTCTTCCTGAATTCACATGTTGAATGAGGTTTGAGTAGTATGCTTGAGCATTTTCTGTAGTTGAAAAGGAATCACCTGCGTTTGGCCAACCACTTTCCGAAACAACACCCAAAGAGCTCCCACCCTCCTTTTCAAGAGCATAGTAGCATCAAAACCCACTTCATTAGTCGAGGAGATAAACAGGGCATATTCAAGCAAGGCAGATTCAGATTTAGGATCATTCCAATTGTTCAGAGAAGACGAATAAGCAAAGATGGGGTATACATTAGCAAGCAGCGGTGACTGATTTTGTACTAGGAAGTTTACTATTTGCCGCATGAATGGCTGCACGGTAGAATTGAAAACATAACGGGAAGGAGGGTAGGTGTCGGCGAGATCCGCCATGTAAAGCGCGGTCGACACCTTGATTTGGTCTTGTAAATTAGCTCTTTCAACTGCCATGTAAATGTTTTGCGTTGCACCAAATATGTGAGGACAATAGTCCAATGTATCATCAATGGTGGGACATGCTTCATTTCCAATTGCAATAGAGATCAAATCAGTCCCCCACAAGATTGCCCCCCCTAATTTCCTATAGCACATCCCTATCTTGTATTGGAAACATTTTCCGATGATGACAACATCAGTTTTGATATTGTCATCAGGAGATATTCCCAATATATAACGGGGATGTGCTGTGGAATGTTTTTGGGGGCAATCTTGTGAGAGGCTGATTTGAACTCACTGCAATATACTTCAACTTCACATCAGTGCTGTAGTATTGTAATACGTTTTGTTGGACCCAATTAGATGAGTAGCCAGAATCCTGTGCTAGACGTTCAAGTTCTGAGTTTGGGACGCCTAATATGACTTCAATGTCTGGGCCTCTAAGAGCCTCCAGTGCTCATTGTAAGTCCCATCTGAGACTCAGATGGGACTTACAATGAGCACTAGTGTGTTCAACCGTGATAGGTAATTCAGTTAGGTGTGTATAATTTTGTCTCCGGTTCCTCCAGACTGATCAAAAAACCGCTCAACTTAAAAGCCCTCTCACACAAAAATCTTCTGGGCTTGAAACATGGACAAATACAGGCCCATTCATATATTGTACTGAAATTTAATTATTATAGATAATGGGATTAACAAAAATCAAAAGCTAGACCACATGGTCAAATAGATTCTAATGCCATCTCAAACCTAAAAGCTTAAGCTGTTTAGAGAAGATTTACGGGAGCAATTTGGGTGAACTTGGGTTGGGGTTTTGTCAAAATATGAATGGGCCCAGACCAAAATTGGGTGAACTTGGGTTGGGGTTTTGTCAAAATATGAATGGGCCCAGACCAAAAATTTGGATTCGTAGTATAAAATCTTAAAATCAGATACCTGATTTCTACCCCTAAGGGAGGTTAATAGTTTTTTATTCTCTAACAATGCGAGCTCCTCTCACCATCTCTGCTTTTATATTGGCACTAGCTAGTAAAAGCAATTGTGAAACAATATAGTTAACCAGAATAAAAGGGAGTATGGATTAATGGAGAGAGAGAGAGACCTGAGGTAGCCATTAAAAGCACCAAAAATAGCATTGTAGCTGTAGCTACAGAAGGGCCATTGCTTCTTTCTGCATAGAACTTATCCATTTTATAGGAACCGATGGAGTTGAGATCCTTTTAGGTGGTTAGACTTGGCCCTTGGGAGAACCACAGCACCATCTAATTAATACTTTTGAAAGTAAACAGCCACCTTCCACAGCAACCGCATGGAACCTCTCTCTCTCAAAATGGTCGAGCAATAGGTCAACGTTTCCATGAGTTAAAAACAAAGTCAAGAGAGATCCATCTGCCCCGGCATGAGTGAGTCGTGAGATAGATGGACTCGTTGATGAAGAATGACCCTCCTCTTTATTCATTGCCCCATCTTTGGGGTTAGAGTAAAAAAAAAAAAATCTTTAGGGTTAGAGCTGGAGACAACTAGTTTCATATTTTTCACAATTGTAAAATACCCAGACTGTTGTAGCCTATTTGACCCATTCAATCGAATCATTGATTAATTCATTAATACGTTTTCATCAACCCAAACATGTCCATATCCCACAATGTAACTGAAAATAGTTTTAGAACAAAGCTGTGACATGTATAGCAACACAATTTGGCAAAATGCAATTAATATTTTAGGTGAGGTTCTAGTATAGGTTTTATTCTCTACAAATCCCCCTCATTTAAAAGCTAATTGGACTTGAAACATATGGACAAGAAGAAGCCCATTCATACCTTATACCGAAATTTAATTAATTATAACAACATTATACCATTTGATTAAATAGGCTTAGTCCCTGTTTGATTTTACTTGTAATAAGTACATTTTTATAAGTACTTAATAAAAGTGTTGAGACCACACATTAAGTTGAAAATAAGCATTTATGGGTGTTTGGTAAAAAAGTACTAAAGAAGTACTTATTAATAAAGTCGCTTTAGAATTGCTTTTTTAAGTACTTGTTAATAAGTGGACTTACAAAAATTTTGGAACTAAAAAGTCTGTTTATTTTTTTTTAATTACCAGAGATACCCATGTATCTCCTTAAACTCCCTTCTTCCTCACTTGAACAGGGTCAAGTATACCAGTGATAAAGCCTGGTTTGGGAGCGATCCGACAACCATCAAACGAGCTACAAACTCACCAATGACCAAGTCGGTTTAACATTTGGACTAGTTTTCTATATGTATTCTTGAATATTTTGGGATTTTTATACTATTATTATTAATTGGTTACACATGGTGCTTCACATGTGGGTCCATGTGAGCTCTCAGTTGTCATGATGTGGCGTTTTTTCATCGAAATATATAATATAACAAGTGAAAAGCATTTTATATATGTATGAGTGGAATGAGGATTAAAATTGTCATTTGTGTCAATATAAACACTTATAGAGAAAGTAGCTTACTAAATATCCCCACCCCGATAAGTGCTTAAAAACATAGTAATTGATTTGACAAATAAATCAGCAAACAGCCTTAAGTGGTTATTAAAAGAAGTACTTCTAAACAGTACAATATAAATACTTCTTTTCACAACTTAATCATCAAACAGCATCTTAAATAAACCATTCAACCTAAAAGCTTAAACTAGTGTATTACATGAGATGCATGAATAGATTTTTATCTCTGATATATACCTGATTAAAAAAAAAAACTTTATCTGATGGACCAGAAATCTTACAATGCTGCACTTGACCATAAATCAATATTGACCACATGGCCAACGCTAAGGCAGACTACTTCCCTACAATTTCCAATCATTGAATTATTTTCACTAAAATAAATATCCCATGACGTCTGGGGCAGAGAAATCTTCATTTAATTTGGTCCCACTTTTTGTTTCTTTCTCTCTTAATAATCCAAGACATTTAACCGGTGTGGAGGCAACTAGAAATTCTGACTCAATACGTGATGGTTACTTAGACTTAAGCCCTCCCCTCGATCGATGACTACTTAGTTGGCTACTTTACATCTGCTAAAAAGGCATGCTTGACTGTAATCAAATTTCACTTCTCATTCTATTATCAACTTCTCAACTTGACCTATTGGCAATGAGCAGTACGGCCATCCACCGACTAATTTTCACCAAATGAAATAATCACAATATGCAAGGTTCTTCCCACGGGATATTTTCATTTGATCCCACTAAGCAATGTGGAGGCAATTAGTAATTCAATTTCTTATATACTTATTAGTTGGGACGATGCAAAGACTTTGGTATCATTTGGCAAAGACGATGCAAGTTTTTTCTATCTGATAGACAAAAGAGGTAGTGGGTTTTTACATAAAGATATAGTGGCCTTTTTGAAATAAGTTTGAATCAAGTTTTTCATGTGTTTTAAGGACAATTTTTCTTCTCCCAACACCAAATGGAAAAAAAGAAAACATGAATTGCCAAATTCTAAACAGCAAACAACCCATGCAGAAATATGCGCCAAACGGAAAACTTATTTAGTGAATTCGACGTAGACGAGCACATTATGATATTATCAATTGGGCCAATCTACACTGGAGCTGACCCAAACACTCCAAACATTAAATACATTCTATTGAAACTTTGAAAGAGGAACTTATGTATTGGATAAAGATAAAATCTGAAGTATCCTTTCTAGGAGAGTTATTTTCTCTCATTAGCTTTTGGAACATTTTCTCCTCAGGCTCAGTTTGGAAGGAGTTTAAATACATACAAAATAATACAAAGTATATAGTTTTGTACTCTACATATTTATACTTGTATTCCTTCCAAACTGAGCCTCAAGGACGTATTGCTTAATTTGAGGAGGTTAAAGGCAGATGATTCCTCAATTCATGGAGGGGAGCCCTTAGCCCTTGCCCCTTGGGGTGGGGATGCTGGTCTGGGTGGCATATTTCGTAAGGATGGTGAGGTTGGCACAGATGGAGATATTGACCCAAAATATATATAAAGGGGTTGCTGCCATATGATACAAGTGATAAGCCCAGATAGAACTTAAACCGGCTCAGCTTAGTAGCAGCCCCAAATGCCAATGAAATTAATTGGAACAGAAGTGGTTGAGAGGACTTGATGTTGTGAGCGTGATCCTATTGTTCTCTGTGTGGAGGCTCAGATAAGAATGTGGAAGTTTCTTGGCCTATCGTTCCTGGATGGTGAAGACACCTTGAGAGGTTAGTTGATATTTAATTGGCATTTTGATCCATTTGATGTTAGAGTCAATTTATACAGGGACACTACTGACTTCATTCTTTATAAAAACTAGACAATTAGTTACACTGTAGGATAACCAACAATGAAAATATATATTTGTTGCCCTAGTGAGGAGATTGGAGATACACTCATAACTTTTACTTAACATGAAAATATATAAAAGCTATACCTTCTTAATTATTACACTCATCCATCACTAATCTTAAATAAAACATATAGAAAAACTACAATTTATTATTACCACAATATTTGTTTGTTGCTTTAAGAAAAATTGGTCTGATACTTTGGCTGTTTATTTGGAAAGAACAACCCAAAATGTTTCTCCCTTGGATCTCCACCCTTGAGATTCTCATCGAACATGGCAAACAAGTAAGTTTCAATAGGCTTTCCTGGTTTTTTGGGAGTTCCACTTCCCGAGTTCACATGCTGAATGAGGTTTGAGTAGTATGTTTGCGCATTTTCTGTAGTTGCAATGGAGTCAGGTGCATCTGGCCAACCACTTTCTGAAACAACAACGTCCAAAGAGCTCGCATCCACCTTCTCAAGAGCATAGTAGAAACCGTCTACCATGGCATCAAAAAGATTCTGGTAACCGTATTGATCCGCAGAAGGGGAAGTAAACAAGGCAAATTCAGGTGTGATGTTTTGATCATACAATTTAGCGAAGAAGGGGTAGACATTAGCAAGCAGTGGAGCCCTTTTCTGGACTAGAAATCCAACTATTTGCTGCATGAATGACAGCACAGAGGGATTGAAAACAGAATTGGATGGAGGATAGGTATCACTGAGAACAGCTGAATAAACTGCAGTTGACACCTTGATTTGGTCCTGTAAACCAGCTCTTTCAACTTCCATGTAAATGTTCTGCATGGCACCGAGGATGTGAGGACAAAAGTCTAATTTCAGATCATTGGTGGTGGGACAAGCTTCATTACCAACTGCGATATACTTGAATTTTACATCAGCGCTGTATTGTAATACGTTCTGTTGGACCCAATTGGATGCGTAGGCAGAATCCTGCTCCGCTAGGTGTTCAAGTTCTTCGTTTGGGATGCCTAACATGACTTCAATGCCGGAGCCTCTAAGAGCCTCGAGTGCTTGCTTATCTGGATCATAAAGTCTCATTCTCTGAAGGTTATTTGTTCTAAACAGGTCCACAACTTCAGCTCTGGGTGGCAGATTGTCGCCTTTCATTCCGTAGCAAACGCCAATGGCTTGTGCAACTGCAAACCATAAGAATAAGAATAACAAGAAGAAGGAAGAACCATTGAAAGGCTCTTCTGGGGAAAGACGAATAGAAAAATCAACCCCTATAGGTTGTTGTCATCTCTAGGTTTGTTCATGCAAAGTTCTCAAATAAGCCCGAAACACCCAAGGAATCTATTAGGAACAAGACATGTATAATAGGCTATGTTACATTAACTATCCCTACAACACTGATAATTAGGCTTGCAACATGAATCTCGGATTGGATTGAGATTTTGTCAATTTGAATGGGCCTTGGTGTAGGAAACGGTTTTCTGTACCTTAGAGATGCTTTTTGCTACCTGTCCTATACTTTCATACTTTCGGGCGGGGGGAAGTGATACTTTTTGAGTCCCAAAACTTTCATTTGCAACAAAGAGACTTTCATAGTTGAGACGTTTATTAATGAAGAGAGTATGAACTAATTATCGATAAAAGAGAGTATGAATTAATGAAGAGAGGATACCTGCCATGTTTGAGATAGCCATTAAAAGCACAAAAAACAGCATTGCAGCTGTAGCCGCACAAGGGCCAATGCTTGTTTTTGCATAGCAACTATCCATGAAAAGTAATTAAGCAGTAATCAAACAAGGAAATAAAAATTCAAAGCTCAAGATTTGTTATCCTGAAGATTGCCCATTTTATAGGAATCAATGGAGATGAGGTGAGAACTTTTAATTTTGGATGGTTGGTTGGACTTGTGGGAACCATAAGGTCACCTATATATTTCCACAGCAACCTGGAACCTCTCTCTCTCTCTCAACCTGTGCGACGGGCAAGGGGTCAAGTCAATGACGGGTTGTCCATGAGTAAAATCAAGATTCAAAATGTCGTTTCCGTTTTATAAAAAGAAAATCAAAAGGGAAAATTTACACCCTATGAACTTGCTAAGCAAAGATCTAACTATTGTTTCATTCCCCACTTCACAAGCCAAAGTCTTCATAATGAGTGACCCGCAACTACTGGCTCAAGTTCGTGCCAGATTTATGTCACGACGTCAAAGGGGATAAGAGACTACGAGTCCAGTACGTCCAACGCGTGTCCTGGTTGCCCGCCTCTCAAGTTCTAGTTGATTATAGTAATTAATCTGGTCTTTCTTCTCAGTTGTAGGGATGAAAACATTTTCTAGCAAAATAATAAATATATTTTTATTTTTCCTAACGGAAAAAAATGAAAATAACGATTGATTGCAAGCACTCAATAAAAGAAGATGATGAAAACAAACCTAGCTATTTCCCTACTTCTCTCACACGTGGAATATATATATATATATATCCAGTGTATCTTCCGTTTTCCATCAATAAATTAATAATGTAAAAATCACACCTCTCTACTAACCATTAACATACCACCTTCGGTGTTAATAAAATTTTCTTAATCTTCCTTCTGTTTAAGAAACAGATACACCACCTCCAGAGATAGATCCCATCTCTATGCCCAATGCACTAAGATAGAAACAAATAAAGTAGAAATAAAAGAATATCTCAACTCTCTTCTTTTATTTAATTTCCATATGGTTATCTACTGTATATGAAACAACCATTCCAATAGAATTCAAGAAAGAGTAGAAGGGGGAAATGGTTGATTCTTAAGTTCTTATAACGTAACCAAGTTATGTTTGCAAAAGTATATTTGAAGAGTCCGGAATCAGTGGATTCTTAGGTTCATGGGGCGCATGAACCCTCCACTATGAGGCATGCATGTCGATTCCTTTGAACCAACCTTAACATAACAGGCGCTTAACGTTAACTTCTATCCGTCTGGTTGAACTGGATGCTAAAAGACAAAATGGAAAACTTTGTTTTGAACAATTTGAACTCTCCCTCTCATTCTCCCATATTCGAGCTTAACCTTGGCCAGTGAGAAGACCACCGGCGATTTTCCTATGCAAACGACATCAGATGGCGAGGAATCAATAAATAGCTAGCAAAAAAAAAAAAATCGACTGGCGGTAACCTCCTCCTCCTCCTCCTCCTCCTCCTTCTTCTTCTTCTTCTTCTTCTTCTTCTTCTTCTTCTCTGTACAATCGCTTATTATTACTAACTTTTCTTTTTCTTTTTTTTTTTTGATTTTGTATGCTTCTGAAGCCAGCTTACTAGCGATACCCTAATCGAACTCAAGAAGTTCCAAAAATAGAACAGGAATAATACAAATTGTTGGGGCATTACAGCAATCACCCACAGTATAAAATAACAAGGTATTTGAATTAGCAAGTATGAAAAATATAATGGAAGCAAAATGATAAAATCCAAGCAAAGACAAATAAAAACAAGCGCCACAAAGGCACGAAGATTTACATGCTTCGGCCTTATCGCCTACGTCCAGGGGGAGAGACAAAATTTGTTATTCACTATGAAAGAAAACTAAGAACAATACAAGCACCTTGTGGCTTGCAGCCCAAACCAACCCTTACCCTTAAACACCTGTTCTTCCTTTCCTCTCAATCCAAAGAACAAAAACAAGAGAAAAAACTCACTCTCACACTAAGAGCACCTTAAATTTTCTCTGATATATTTCTCCCCCAAACCTTAACTCTACATACAAAAGAAAAAGTTTTTATATGTAAAACCTCTTTAACCTAAAGAGGGACCACACCAATCGTTAGATTAAAATTAATCCAGCGGTTGTAAAATAAGACACAATCCCAACAATCTCCACCTTAGCTTATTTTTCAACCACCTTAGAGATATATTGTTTGTGCCCTCCACCTATTTGCAAATACCACAAACCTCCATTGGCCTTAAAACATCACCAACTACACATAACCTAAATCATTTGGTCTTAATTCCACCTGATTCAAACAAAATGGCCAATTTACCTATGTAATTGTACCCAAGCTAACAACTCTAATTAACTTCAGAGAGGGATCACGGTCCTTCCTCTCTTCCAACAGGAATCTTCCTCTCACTATCATCCATACCTTGGAAACTTGTAGCACTTGTCTCTACTTTATCCGTAAAAGAGACTCTCCGTATGGCCACACTACCTTGCGCATTCCATTTCCAACATTCCATCGAGGTCTTGAAAACCACTGTACTCCCAACCAAATGATACAAACCCTTACATTTTTCTCCCTTCATCAGTACCACACCGCCACGTGTGATTTCATGGTTCCACCAACAGTAAAATCCTTGCAACCCTTGGATTCTAATCGGCTAAGTGATATTAGATTGCTATGCATTTTTGGGATATACGCCACACCACCCCAAGTGCGAATTACTCCACCAAACATTTTGATTTTCATTGTCCCAACACCCATGATGTTACATGTAGATCTATCACCCAATGAGACAACACCTGTCTTCTTCTCTTGGAACGTGTCAAAATATTCCTTCCTGGAGCAAATATGCATAGAACATCCAAAATCTAAAATCCACTCATTTGGAGAAAGATTACACATACCTTCGGATACTAGGAGAACGTCTCAATCATCATCAGATGCAATGTTCATGCTTCCAGATTCATCCCCACTCCTTTTCCGTGTAGGACAATCTCTTTTCATGTGATAAAATTCGTTGCATCTGTAACACTGTATCTTGCCCTTTTCCCTGGCCTTGGATCTAGACCTGCTACTCTCAGATCCCCTATCAAACGACATTCCTTTCCGATTTGTTCCCATTGTGACCAATGCAGAGTCTTGTCCGTTTTCATACTTGGGCTTTCTCCTAACCTCATTGGATAGAAGAGATGCATTAACTTCTTCCAACTTCACTGTATTTTTCCCATACAGCAATGTTGTCACCAAGTTTCCATACGAATCAAGAAGTGAGGTAAGAAGCAAAAGGGGCTTGTTTTCTTCATCTACCTTGACATCAATTTTTCCTACTTTATTCAAGATACTGTTGAACACATATAGGTGTTTCAAGGGATTCCCACCTTCCATCTTTAGCCCATACAACTGTCGCTTCAAATATAGATTTGCCGTTAAACTTTTCCCAAATAAAGGTTCTCCAACTTATCCCACAATTCCAATGTAGAATCTTCCTTTAAAATGTTAAACATGACGCTACCAGCCAGGAGCAATTGAATCATACTAACACACCTTGACTAGATGTCCTCCCAATCAACATCCTTCATGTCTTCTGGCTTCCCATCCATTCCTTTCAACGCTCTAGCCAAGCCTTGTTGAACCAGGATGTCTTTTAACTTTCTTTGCCATAGGGTAAAACTGCCTTTGCCATCAAACCTGTCAATCTGGAACTGAGAACATGTGCCTTTTATTATCATTATCTCTCAAGCAATTTTATAAACACCTTATAAATGCTAACCTGGGAGCTCTAATACCACTTTGTTGGGGGCTCACAACAACCACCCATAATATAAAATATCAAGGTATTTGAAATAAAAGTATGAGAAATATAACGGAAGCATAAATGATAAAATCCAAGCAAAGACAAATAAAAATAAGTACCACAAAGACACAAAGATTTACGTGCTTTGGCCTTAATGCTTATGTCCATGGGAGAGATGAAATATGTTCTTCACCATGAAAAAAAACTTAAAACAATACAAGTACCTTGTGGCTTGCAGCCCAAATCAACCCTTACTCTTGTACACCCATTCTCACTTTCCTCTCAATCTGAAGAACAAAAACAAGAGAAAAAACACTCTCACACCAAGAACACTCTATATTTTCTTTCATTCCTTTCTCCCAAAAACCTTAACCCTACATACTAAAGAAAGCTTTTATACGTAAAACATCTTTAATCTAAAGAGAAACCACACCAACTATTAAATTAAAATTAATCTAGTGGTTGTAAAATAAGACACAATCCCAACACAAATGCCATGAATAATACACTCCTAATCGGTCCTCTCTCCATGGTTTGGAAATTATCCTTCACTAGTGCTTAATTTAACAACATTAAGTAACAAATGCCATGAGCAATAATGAAATGACTATTTTCTAGTTGGTAAGTAACAAATGAAACTGAATTTGTTTTCCAAAATCCTGAAATTAATACATTCA